GATTATTCCTCCCGAATAATCTCGACAAAATTTTCTATACGATGACTTACTTAATACTATATTTACATTTTATTAAACTTATATAAAATACAGTCATATAGTGAAATATTTCAAAATTTACAGCTTTCCAGGCCTATTAAAGTATGACTTCTAGCTATAAAACTGTAAAAATTTTAAGCATAATAATATTTTTTGAATTTATAAATTTAAACGCAACCGCTTCTCTTATCTGCACTATATTTAAATAAATACAGCTTTCGCTTTATTTTGCGATGCCTAGAGAAAATGTATCTTTAATTCTGCAGAAATCTGTGAATGAGGCAGGATATTAACAATAATATAAACGCTAAGAAAAATGCTAGAACATCCATAAGCATACTTAAGCAACATCCATGTAATTTTAATTAATTTACACCAGTTTTAAAGTTCAGTATTTTTTTTTTACAATGACCAAGACGGTACAGTGGTTAGGACAGCCGTCTGCGAGACCAAAGGGCCTGGGTTCGAGTCTCGGCGAAGGCGCTGGTTGTAACTGTCCCTCCATTCATAGGAGGCCCCAATATTAGATGCCTCCATAATAAAGTGACCACAGCTTCTGGCCTTAATAGTGGCCAACGTCTAAATGATGGCTTGTGCACACCATTGGGAAAAAGTATATATTTACATGTTCGTTAAAGTTACCTTTATTTTTTAAATTAATAGTATGAAATTTACCAAACATCTCTATGTGGAATGATGCCGGTTACCTCGAAAAGCGGCCTCAGCCATTATAATTGAAAATAACATCAAATATAGGTTTAAATTTACAAAATGGAGTTTAAATTTTACCAATTATACTGCACAAATGCTGATGTGTATCACATTAATCTATCATTTGCTACGTAAGTTAAGCTTATTTATAAATTTATTACATTTCTTGTAACTTCTTATATGACGAGAAAATACTAATTACTTTCAAAAATCTGCTACTCTGAAAAAATATATGCTTATTACTATAAGAAATATTCTAAAGTCGTATAAATACCCATTTAATAAATTCTAAAATTTAGTGAGCCAAATAAGTTTTTATTAAAATTTGGTGAGCCAAATAAGTTTTTATTAATCGTATAAACTACTACATTCAATATTTACAAATATGTTAATATTATACTGGAGGGCAGATTAAATTGTTTGATAACTTAATATGATTCTGGGACAATTTCACCGGAATGATGAACTTGCACAAATAATATTATGATAATAATGGAATAGCAGAATATTTCACGGAAGTTTAACACGTTTGTGTGGAAGAATACGTTTAAGAAGATTGTTAAACAGACTCAAGCAAGGAACATCGAGAAAGGTGCTTAAATTTGCACATTTGCAGTAAAAATTATTACAGTATTTGCATTAAGAGACTGCTGCGATGCTTGAAGTTCAACGCTCGAACATTTGTAGCATGCGCAGCTGATAAAATATATTGATCACCTGTGATGAAATACATGTTGCCAAGCAATAATCGCAAGAATCGCCCTTCCCCCACCTGAATGTTACCAATCAGAGGTTGAAAATCGGGTAACAAAACAGTTCAAAGCCTGAATAACGTAAGAGTTATTTCTGAATTTTTTTCCAAGATACACATATTGATATTGATTACACGAAACTGCATTACCCCGTTAAAACTAACAATGCAATTTTAATGATAATTTTGCGTGGAGTCAATAATCAGGGACGTCCTTTGCCTGTATATAAAAAACAGTACAAAGTATCATACAGAAGTGACGCAGTCGTCATTTTATTAAAACATTTAGAATAAAAAAATAAAAGAAATTTCAGTGATAAAAGAAGAATATTCTAGTTTATTCTTCAAACACAGGCAAAATTTAATCTTGGAGTGATATTAGTTTTACAGAAAAATTCTATAAAACTGACAATTAAATACTGAAGTTTTCGTTTTATCAAAAGAACTCAGAAGAAAATAGTAAGAAAAGAAAATAACGAAGTTTTAAAGAAAATTTGACTCACATATCGTACGATTTCGGCGTTCCTACACTTGGTATACAAAATCGTGTCTAAAAGATTCTAAGAATTGTTTAGAAATTTTTGTGTTTTTTACTCATACGCAACCATCGAAATTTATTCATATAAAGTTATCAAACATCGTTCTATGAAACCTTAAACACAGATTTATCAGATTTTTTTTCCTTAAAAATATTTATGTAAAAAATGTAAAAAGATGACTAGAGGTTTAGAAATTTTTACACTATACGCAAACACAAAAAAGATTTTAAAACAAATATCAAAATTTAGAGAAGGCGAAAATAATAAAAAAAAAATTGTGTGTCTCTGATACCTTTTTTATATTTAAGGTGGCTTTCTAGGAATGCAATCAATTAACCACAATGACGTCTAAATAAAGGCGACCAGAAATATTGCCACACTTATTGCATTGCACATAATGTAACACAAGAACGTGTTACGGCACTAGACGCACTCATTAATTTGAACGGAGATATTTAAATTGTCTCTCGGATGCAAGGTCGGAAACATACTTAACTACTATTTCGGAGTACAGTGACGTGAATACTATGCCACCTATTTTAGTCGCTTCTAAGAGAAACCCTGTCTTTCTTGCAACGTAAAATTAAGCTGATTAACACAATCAGGACTAACATTCGATGACGTCAGAAGAAATCCGTCAGAAGAAATCATCTAGCAGGTTTAACATGTACCGCAATTACGAAAAAAGAAGATAAACGAAGAAAAAAACAAGGCAAACATGAATAGCAATTTTTTACCTGGAAATTTCTGCAATAAAGAAAACTATTCTGACTTTTTTCATACCTTAGAGACACATTATTATGATCTATGACATTAACGTAGTTGCTCTTTGATGAATTCGAGGACCTCATTTGTTTCAGGATATGCAGCAACCATAACAAAGTTATTTTGAGATTAAAATAGATATGTTGAATTGGGGGGGGAGAGATAAAAAGAAAAATCACAATTTCTTAAACACTACAAGAGTTGGAAGAACATTATTGGTGAGAAAGAAACATTAATATTACGTTAAGTTCCCAAAAGCATGCGAAGTCGTGTAACATATACCTAACGGAGGATGAAGGTCTAAACAAGCTGCTGGTGTAATCCACCGATTGCCAACTGGCGGCCCGCGAACCACATGCAGCCTGTGAGTCACTTGTTTGTAACCGGCGACTAGACTAAAGAAATTTAACATTTTCGAACGCGGCACATATTTTGATACTTATGATTTTTTCAAATTATCCTCAAGGCATAAATATCACTAATATCACCGAAAACTGATTTTGGGGAAAAGTTCCTCGCACGAGGTAAGGTCGACCCACAGATGCAGCAACAGGCGCGATAGCACCGGGAAGCAAATTCCAGGGCTGGCAAAGCTTTAAGACTAAGTAGGAGAAGAAGGAGACTAAGGAGAAGTAACAAGCAGAAAATTGTTTAGAATTTAGGGGAAACACTCGGCAGCATAATTTTAAGGGAAGAAAAACTACTAAATTTACGAAGCTGCCGGGCAGCAAAATTTAGGACCTGCAGAGACTGCGCAGGGCGGCAAAATGTCTACTGCCAGCCTGCATGAGGTTCTTAGTCATGAGGTCATAAAAAATTAATAAATAAACACAAAAATAATAAAATAAATCTTTAGCTGACATTTCGCATAGGCAAGAACGCGTTCGAATCAGTTGACAAGTAAAGCGTTAAGGCTTGCAGTTGCATGTAGAAATTAAAATAATGAAACTGAGTTACTCACTTAGAGAGCTAGGAGATAAAACATTCGATTTCTAATTGTTATGACGTTCTTTTATTATTCATGTTAGAAAAGCAATCGTCTATGCAAGCAAACTGAAAATTAACAGTTTCATTTCTAAGAACCGAAGCAGTATATCTTACCCTCTACCCCCAACTTGCTCTCGAGTAAAACGGCATACATTCATGAGACTATAGCATATATTCACTTGTAAGGATTATGTTAATTTATCTAACAGTTAATTCTGAGTTATACTTTCCTATATTTCCTTAATTTGAAGCTTACAACTTCCGGCCAAAACGTATTTTAGAATCGCGTTTGAATGCAAAAGAGGAGAAGTATTTAACTGTGAAGTTCTACTGAACTTCGTTAGAGAGCCAGTGATTCTGACTAGCGCGCGTTCGCTTTTTCAAGCTACTCTCTCTTAAACTATTATTACGCTCGGCCATACTTTAGGTCCTTGATAGCTTCGCTGTTAATTAGCGTTAAGGGGCCGACTCTGTTAGAATTCTGATAGCTTCGGCTAAATCTTTTTAGTTAGGATTAGTTCGTAGTTTCCTAAGTTCAAGCCCGAGTGGAGGCTTTATTGTAACTCCAAGAAAGGAGTCGTCTGTTTAAACTTTATTGGAATAATAATGGGTAATTTCACCCTTCTTACGTTTTGTTCTCTGTCACGAACTCAAGCGATTGTTCGCTTACCAGTTCTTAAGATTCCTCAACTTTAGCTATAGATTAAAGCACCTAGGAGTCTCCCACATTTTTTTTTTCTTAGATACAATATATAATAATAATAATTTCGCCCGAAATAAGTACAGATTTTTTTTTCATAAGGTACGGTTAACTAGAACTAAATAAAAATTCAATTTAATTTTTCAAAAAAAAAGTGGATTTATTTTTAGGCTTAAATTCTTTCTTAAAGATTAAGTTTTATAAAACAAGCGCTTAAAGACATTATATATAGTTGGATTTACATTAAGATTTAATTTACTTTTCGTACAGTAAAGTTAAAAAGATGTAAAGCTTAAGCTCATTTTTCGTATACAAGTTCGAAAAAAGTAAAATTCTGACTTATTTAAAAAACAATGAAAAGCTTTATCTTTTATGTTGAAGCACATAATTAGTTTAAATAATTGTCTTTTCCTCAATCTTTACAACTCAAGGTAAAACAAAGAAATATAAAACTGAACGCTAACTAAAACTGAACTAATTAAGAAAACAAATAAAGTCGACAAGCTACCTTGCCGACTTCTGGAAGATCTGGCTTCCGTTTTTGGTGGCCTACCTCGTCTTCCGGGCTTCTTCCCGTCTAAAATTTCTGAAAAGATAGAAAAAGAATAATTAGCTAAACAAATAGAACATGATATTCTTACACACAAAAGTATTCATTAATTTTTTTTATAAAAACTTGGCCCCCGTACGTTCAGAAATCGCTATTGATTAATTATCATGTTAAGAGAAATATATTAATTCTGTAGCCTAGAAACGAATTGCTGATATTAATACAAAATTCTACCTTTGCAGGTCAAAGAAGATTGGGTAGCATCGACACAGTATCTTATTTCAACGTTAAATTCTTATTCTACTCCTTAGAATATCGCTCCATGAAAAACGGACTTTGTTCAGATAAATTCCCATGTTAACAGGTGCAGAAAGTTAGATGTCTAGTTTCCAAAGTGAGCACAAATGTTTACTATTTCGTCTTTTATGAAAGCATTACATTTCATACCAGTATATCGGAAGGAATACAAAAAATATGAAATAAACGAAAATAATTTTGCAAATCATATACAGGTAGCTCACTATCATACCAATATCGAACTGAACATTAAAAGTTTGGTTAAGCTTATCCGAGTACGGCAAACACGCGATAGCTATCTATCTACGGGAAGGGATGCTTTTCGTAGAGGACTTTCTATGAGAAATTGCCTCGTATCGACGTTACGCATGGGAAAAACCACGAAAATGACCACGCAGCAGCCACTCCGTTCACCTGAAATCGATACCAGGCCAAACTACAAAAGTCCCACGGTTTTACCGGCCCACCAGCGGCCGAGCGGTAAAGTCGCTGAACACTGGTAGTTCGGTCCGAGCTTCGAATCCCGCGAACGGGCTGGCTGCATGGGTGTTTTCGTGGTTTTCCCCATGTGTAACATGTATACGAGCCAGTTTCCCTTAGAAAGTCCTCCACGAAAGGCATCCCTCCTCTTAGGCAGATAGCCCTAGTGTGCTTTGCCATAATTAAATACACCACACCACACCCACGGTTTTACCGTTCGCGGTCACTGCCGTTTTGAGTTTTGCGAAAATTATTATTTAAAAAATAGTTAACCTTTTAAACCAATTACTGCTATTAGCTCAAACACTGATTCCGTATAATTATTTCTCTTAAAGAAATGTTAGAGGTACGCAAAAGTTAAATGCATTTCTTTAAAAGTAAAGACAAAATGATTTTAAGATGTGTTTACGTTTCGTAAAGCAAAGCTTAAAAGATGCAAAAATGTTTGTTTTTACATAACGAAAAGTTCGTCAGCATTAGGGCTCAAACTGTTTCCGTAAAATACATATAGGTAAAGGCAGGCTTTTTTTCATCAGATAAAACTGGATAAGCAAGTAGTCTTGTGTTTTATTTATTTATTGTACAGCTTCAAACAGATAAGAAATTAAAATTTTACTGAACGCTATACATGCATATACCCACAGAAATTATGTAATGAAAGCGTACAATTGCGAAAATTAGAAGTCTAACGGCCCTGAAAACAGAATCAGTTTCTGTCACTCAGCATTCAGGGAGGATGGTGTATTTTAGATACAAAGACAATTTGAAAAATTTCTTTTTTTTGGGGGGAGGGGGTGTTTTTAAAATGTATAAAATGTTCACATTATACCTGAGCATAACGACGATGTTATATACGCTGCAGCATTTAATGTAGGCTTTTCATTTGCGGTGCTCATGCTGCTACTCGTACTTTCTCGGTCCTCTCGGTCGGAATCTGAAACGAAAAGAAAACACTCATGAGATTGAGATTTAATAATAAAGAATGAAAATGTGTTTTTATCAATCCTCAACCACATGCAAGAAATAAACTTCTAGAGCCATTAGGTTTTTGAAGCAGGAAACGTGAAAAATGTGCAGTGTCCTCGCCAGGACTCGAACCTGGATCTCTCAAATGCGTGCCGAATGTCCTACCGTTACACCACGAAGTCATGTTGGACAGATGAAGAAAATACCTTACATACCTCCTTTAAAGGGCGGCTGGAGTTAGGGGTCCCAATCGCCAAATTCTGGTGGTGACGAATTATCGTCGACTACCTTTTAGTTCGGACGCTACTTGCAGAGTCATTAGGCTTATTTTAAAGCAGAAGACATGAAAAACGGGCAACGTCTTAGCCGAAACTCCAACCTAAACATCTCGAATTCGCGCCGAGTATGCTACCGTTGCACCACGAAGGCACGCTGTAAGGAGGAAGAAAATGCCTATACTGAGGATCAGGGGACTGAGTCGACACCACCGTCGACTGAGTCGCTAAATCCTGGAAGTGCCGAATTATTGTCCCCTACCTTTTAGTTCGAGAGTCATTGAGTTATTTTGAAGCACGAATTTTGAAAAATGTGCAATGCTCTCGCCCGGACTCGAAAATAGGCCTCTCGAACATGCGTCGCTACCGTTACACCACGAAGGAATGCTGGATGGAGGGAGAAAATACCTTATAAGCTTTTAAAAATTTAGCCCAATCAAATATCGAAAACAATCTCAAACATTAAGAATTAAAAGCTCTTTTTCTATTTAAATAAATATAATAAATATATGCATACTAACTGGGAAGATGAAAGCAGTTAGTATTTTGTAATGTATACTTGAAAACAGGCTCATAAAACTAAATAAATATTTATAACCTCAAAATGAACGAAGCATGTTTAATCTTTAGTGGGAGGGAGTGAAATTATTAGAAGGTAAAAAGTCAGCAGCTTATAAAATGGCTTTCTTTTTTGAAAATTCTTGATCTGAAAATAGATTCTCAACCAACACACCGTCAGTAGATTATTAATATGTTTCATTTACTCAGTTATGTTTTTATCGCAGTCTCAAAAGTTATTTTAGTCAATTTAGCTCTTTCTTCGCAGAACTGAAGTTAAAAACTACAAACGGGAAAAAAATCATGCTAGTTACCATTGACTCCGAATCAGTCCAAGGCTACATATATTCGATATATTCGATTATATATAATCTACGCTACTCATTTTATCTTCATTTGTTTTATTTATTTATTTATTTACTTTTTGCAATAAAAACTTAAGTACGAATTCGAATGGCATCAATGATTGAATATCTTCAAGACATCACTGACTATCTTCAATCTATTCTTCTATCTCTTAAATGCGTGTCCGATAACCACAAGGTATGGATTAAAAAAAATCATAAAAATAAGGCCGGCGGGGAGTAACATACCCTCATGAGAAAAAAATCACTGGGATTAAATTAAAAAATCTGATACTTGTTGGGACTTAATTCATCGAAAAAGGTTCACGTATTATGAGAGGCAAACAGGCAGCCTCTCTTATTAAAGAGGCGGGAAGACGAAAGAAATAACTTCAGAAAATAGAAAGAAAGAAAAGCTGTTTCTATACTAAGCAAGATAAAATTTAAATAATGTAAGGAAGAAAATAACTAATTTAAACTTTCATAGTATAGACTAGTCATTTCTGTTCACAGAAAACATTATTTGCTTTTATTGAATTTAGGAATCATTTCAAAGCCAAATAAAGATTAAATTTTATCATTATTAACATTTAAAGAAGAAAGCAATTCTAATATATTAACGAAAAACAATCCGAATATTAGCCCCTCTAATTATCTGATCCACTATCTTACGTTTTAATTTGATTAATGCGAACGGTTTTTTCAAATTAAAGAGCGTAAAATATGCATAGGAGAAAAAGAACTATATTAGTTAAATATAATTACATAGAAAATAAGTAATTGTATAAAAGTGACACCTCTAGTCAATTAAAAAGTCAAGCATACCGTTAAATTACAGGATAGCAAGCAATTTCATTTCCACTAAATTTTCTGGCAGATAAAGTGAACAAGTAAGCAGTGGTAAGAAAGGCTAAGGCTTACCGTGACTGGATGATGGGCTGTTACCCTGAATTTCCGATCCCACACAATTTAAAAGTTGTGAATATGTGTCATTAGACCACGTGTGGAACGCTGGTAGTGGATTGTCTGATCTGATGCATGCCGCAATGTCCAGTGCCGTAGGACTGGGCTGATCTGTAAGTAAAATGGAATATTGATTATTAACTAATATAACTAATTATTTATTGTACAGCAGTTTAACGCCCAAAGCATAATCCGACTGCATACCGATTGCACCGAGTTTCTTCCAGCTCATAACTTCTAAGCCTATATGATAATATTTAAATGGATATACAGCCATACGGATAAACACTGCGGCGGGGGGAGTTCTATATCTCCCGTTCTAGTGGGCCGATTGACGAAATTCAAATTGCGTTTTTCATATTTCGAAAGCGCGACTTAGGATTTGTATTACATTGTTATATAGCACTGTTCTAATATAGGTATTTTGATATAAAATCGGACTTTTTCCGAAATGACATGCTAATGTTTTTCCGTATTTTGATTTTACGACTCTAATTATGCCTAAATATTAAATTTTGTAAAATTTGGTATGAAATTTACGGAGAAATTCAAAACTTTCTCTTAGCGCATTTTTTTCAGTTCGCGTCAAGAATAATTCACTCGGCGAACTTCTTAATCTGTAGCAACCTATTTTCCTTTCCTTTCTTTCATTGTAAACGACCGGGAAAAATCATCGTTCATTATTTCAAATAATTTTAACAAAGTGCGTAAACCGCATTTGGCGTTATTATCGCTTATAATAAATACGGCAAATTTCTAAACGCGCCAATATTTAAATTCACGTATATTCTATGAAATTTTAAATAAAATTTTTTTGCAGGTATGCTTAGAAATACATACATTTTAAGATGATGGTAAAAGTTTTATAGGACAAAATTCAAATTTTTTTCGTAAAATTTATTAAAAATATTTAAAAATACAAATTTTAAAAATAAATCATAAAAGATGGGCGATTTTTATTTGGAATGAACCTAAATTTTGAATTCTGGAAGAAGAGACCAAGTAAGTTTAATAAAAAAAAAGAGATATTAATAAATATATATCAAAATTCACTAACATTGAGGAGCTATAAATTTTGAGAGGCTAACAATTTAAAAACTATTCGTACGATTTTTACAAAACTGGGCCAGTTTGGCATAATTTGAGTATTAGAAATCGAAATATGGGAACAAAAATTGGCATGTCATTTCAGAAAAAGTTCTTATTTGGTGTCGAAAATACATATAATTAGAACAGTACTATATATAAATCTAATACATATGCTAAGTTGCGCTTTCGAGACATGAAAAACGCAAGTTGAATTTCGTTAATCGGCCCAGTAGAACGGTTAGAGCTGTCCTATTTTTTTTGGGGGGGGGCAGTGTACCTACACAACAAATCACAAATCTCATTTACTTTTACCTATTAGGTAGACTCTTTACCATTCATCTTAGAGAACATATTTCACATGTTTGTCCTACAATATACCAAAATGTTTTGCTAGCGCTACTTTATTTTACACTCACGTGATCGACGTAATACTCAAATCCAACACTCATAGCGATATATGCTAACAATACTGAAGTCCTCAAACAGAACAATACTTCTCATTTGGTCCCCTATTTATAGATCATTGATTAGCAGTCTTAAGCATTACCGATACACACTTATTCATTAGAATCTTACGTCCCTTCTTCTTCTGAGAATAAAATGTTAAAATATATTATACTTTAATTCTTTGATACCAGCACATTAAATAGAGAAGAAGTATTTTTAAATAAAGGATCATCTGCAAAAACTACATCAAACAAGTAACACACTGTTAAGCTTCGTTAATACAAGTCCTTACCCACTAAGGCTAAACTCACTCTCTCCTTAATTGCTCGAAAGAGCTTTCTAGTTACAGTTAAGTCACTCGTGTACATGACAGTCTTGCATTAAACAATTAGCAATGCCTATCCTATCTTAGGTTTCTGGAAATACTTTTACAAATATCCGAGATGATTCAAGTAAAATTGAACAAAAACAGTTCTGGTCATTCCAGGTTATACAGTTACAACTTTATCTTCACATATAATACGCCAAATCACCACGGTTAAGTAAATAATTAGGATGTCATTTTCCTTATTACATAAGGCTCACTTTCTCTCCAAGTTTATATTTTACTCATAATATTAAACAAAATAATAGCAAAGCATTCTAAAAATAATTAATTTACTTACAATGATTTGCTATCGTATTTTGGAGGCTCTGGTACAATATATGTCCATATCGATTATCCAAAGTGCAGAAATCCGATTGTGATAATTCGCACAGAGTCTGGCCGTTCATACGATTGAATTCTGGCATGTTCACGTCGAGGAGATCAATGCCAGTCTCTTTCGACCAGTTTAAAAACCATTCTAATACATCTCCCTCATTCCACTGGTTCGGAGCTTTGTTTTGCCATGATCGAGTTTCCCAAGCACCTAAATCTATGGGGAGAAAATGAAAACTAAATCAGAGACAAATGGTAATATCTGCACAGTTAAATCAATTCTGACAAGCGAAGTATTAAGCCCAGATCTGAGTAGCTCGTCAAGATTTTTCATAATTAAGAGTTTCTAATTAGAAGGTCCCTAATATATTTCATCATGTTTTGAGGAAATAGTTCTTTTACAGCGATCTGGAGCAGTTTCAAACTGAACAATTTCTGTAAGAGTTTTTCTGTCGATATTTAATCCAACATGTTTAAAACACTAATAAAAATTTATTATTATGAAATAAATACAAACTACAATCAAGCAAAAATTTTCATTTTCCATTTTACACAAGCACTTTCTTGTCCAGAATAAAAATTAATTTTCATTTTTATAAACTACCTGACTCGAATCTTAACACCCGTGAATAATTTCGATTTTGTTAAATGATATGCTTTAATAGCCAGTAACATGTTTTTATTCCAATAGTCTGAAATTCAAAAGTTATTTGATGTGCAAAAATTTGGCTATCGAAGTTCCAACTAATAGAATAAATAATGCTTAGTATGGTACAGAAATTTTCTTGATAAGATGTTGTAGCTAAACTGAATAATTGCAAAGGTGTTTGTCTAATAACGAAAGAAATTAAACTCTAGGAAAGCATTGTACCAGAAACAGAATACATGAAATACATTGTTGGCCATTAAATTTGTTACATTAAAGAAATCTATTAGTAGAATCATATTTTTTCTTTACACATAGACAATAAGGGAATGATAAAAATTTTAGGTAATTCTGAGGTACAGAATATGCAGAAGTGAGTGCCTGAGTATTAGCCCCTGGCAAAAACAGCCAGTTGTTATGAAGATAAGCGTATTGTTGAACATGGCAGTTATAGGTATTGCAGATTTATAATGAATGAAGTCTGATAATTTGAACTAGCCATTTGAACTAGCCATGTTTTCAGGGTCTTACTTAAACAATTTATACATTGACGTATCAAATGATACCTTATTGTCTTACTAATCTTATTATTACTACGTTTTCAGTTTAAGTTAAGAAATAGTCATAATAAAGCATTCAAAGACCTCTAGTTACAAAGGCAAATCGTTTTCACTGTCCATCAATTAGTTTATCTCTCTAGTGCCAATTTTTACATACAATTTAAAAGAATGAGTGAGATTTTCTTAAAAAAAAGGTGGAAGCACTAAAAATAACTGTCTTAACTAGATATCAAAACAAACGTCAAATGGTTGACAGGTCAGACCGGTGATTAATTAAACATAACCACAAGTAACATCGCAAATGAAGTTCTGAAATTTTTCATTTTCTGTAGAATCGCGTGATTATTACTTATAAAATAATCTGTTTACTTACCATCTGCCCCACTGTTTTGGAAGATGTAATCTAGGATTGCAGAACTGTTATACTGGTTAGAGGAATGACTTGGAATCGGCTGTAAATCATAATACTGCATATCCTTTTTTCCAACGTCGGTTTCGTAAAATGGAACGTCTGAACCTACATACTGAAATGGAAAAATACATATGGTAAAGTTTCCTTTCTTGATTAATACATAAAAGATGACATCTAATTAAATTAGTTTCAATAAAAACCACCATTTTTCCTATAACAGCTATTTTAATTAATTTAATAGTCTTAAGAAAATTTCATGTCGTTATAAACTACAATGGAAAAGCCTGTTATAAAATGGCTAGTGACTGATAATTCTGACACATTCAAAAACCTCTTCGCTAGTTTAATATATTCTGTATTTTCTTCACATATAAACCTCACGTCATGCAAACAAATCTAAAATATTATTGAAAGATTAAAGTATGAGAATATTATCCTGGTCTTGTCATTACACATATAGTTTCTCTATATATGTAATGTATGTTTCTCTATAGAGAGAGTAATGCAATTCTACGGATAGACAGTACTTATATAGAGGAGCAATGTGATTAAAAAAAAAAAAAAAAAGGCAATGATTTAGAGATAATGAAATGATATTAAGTTTTATACTACTTCGAATATAAAAGCTTTTGAATGATGTTTAATATGAGTATATGAACCATTCAATTTATAACATCTAACAACTGGGAAGTCCGCCAGTGATGGTGAGAATAGGTACTGCTATTTCCACTGGGTTCGAAGCCTATTGAACAGGTTAGCTGCATGGGTTTTTCTTCATTGTAACGTGCATATCCACACATCTCTACGAAAATATCCCTTCCTTAAGAAGATAGATAATCTTTATGAGGTTTTTTATATTCATTCAAAGCAAACTCATACTGAAAAGTGGAAAAAAGACAGACTTTGCTGTAATGCTAATCCAATTTTAACCACATTATAATTATAAAAAAATTTAAGACCACAACATACAATTTTGTGCTTAGAAATAAGAGTTTAATACAGTTATTGCCATTATAACTGGTTAACGTTTGACTGGAAGATATGAAATAATATTCTGTAAATCACAGTTTTAATCTTCAGGTTTCTTTCGCGCGATTTATAAATTTCTAATAAGATCTACATCAATTTAAGTTTGTAATTTATAAATTTTATTAGAGTTAATTCTGAGCTTCAGGAATAATTCGATAAAAATACAAAAATATATGTTTTATATAAAATGTTCTAAACAATATCACGGGTGTTTTTTTTTTTAATTTTTTTCATGTATCAAATTGTTTCATTTATAATATTCCCCCCAAAAATCCTTCTAAAGCCATTAGGTTATCGATGCAAGAATATGAAACATTTGCGATATCCTAGTCGGGATTCAAACCCTTACGTTCCGACTACTATCCATACGTGCTACCCAGAAGGTACGCGGAAAGGAAGTAAAAAATACCTTTTACACTTAATTATTTATTGTTGCCAAATGAAATTTCACAGGGATTATTTGACTACATAATGAGACCGGACTTTATATAAAAGAATACTTTGCAGAATAAAATAGAATATATGGCAAAATGGAATAAAACAATAACTATGATATCGAAAACTTTTATTAATGTTTATATACGTATAATTCCTTTAATGTAAATTTAGCGTCTCACAAAATCCAGTTTTAAATTTCCCATAACGAAATCAATTTTTAAACCTTTATTCAACAGCTTTTAATCTTGCAGCTCATAGATAATACTTATTAAGACGTATTTAAATATCAGCACTGATAAAAACGATATCGATAAAGCTCGAAAATAACTCATGTATGACCCAAATTCTTTTCAGTTTTCATTCCTGATAACAGTTATTTACTTCTAACAGGCCAAGCTCAGCTTTCATGTCATTAGAATAAGTTTGTCATATACTTTGCTAGTATCATGTTGGTTCCCTTAAGCTGCGATACCGCACACCTATATTTGTGACTGCAAGACATCCAATATTTAAAGCATCTATGATGATCTAAATAATGTATTACACAGCTATAGATCTGAGTAGTTGCTGATGCAAGAAATATTCCATGAAAAATTTCAGTGTTTTATAAAATAAAAAGAAATCTCTAATCAATGAAGTAAAACAATGCAACGTTTTCCTTCATTAGATGACTAGGATCTTATTTCTTTTATGACTTTGTAATGGAAACAAAATTTTGCATCAAAACGGACGTAAAAACTTTGGCATAGGAACTGTAAGGATTCATAAAATAGAGAATTGTCAGATTTATAAAACAGAGAATAGCGATTTCTGAATCGCATCATCTTTTGTGATTAAAAAGAAACAGAATAAAGAAAATATTACTATATTGCATGCAAGCAGAAATAACTGCAAAAGTGAATCCCGTAAGAGATACTAAAAAATAAGGAACTGGAAAACTCAGTTTTAAAAAAAGTGAATATATGATATTTAAAATTAACATTCAATCTAAACAATTTCTCAATTACACATTTACAATTCCTAAAAGCCATTTCTTATTTCAATATATTTCAGAAATCGCTATTCTCTATTTACCTATTAAACATTCTATAAAATTACCTTTAAAGTGGTAATTTCTAAAACTAACAATCATATATGCATTTTGAAGAAGACAATTAATGATATGACAATTTAAGACTTTTATGTTTTGTTCCTGAAAATGATTTTAATTCATTATTTGCTAGAGCGGCATATCAGTACTAAGGTTTTCGTTTGGTTTTGGTTTATGTGATTATGGTTGGTTTCGTTTGGTTATGCGTTTGGTTTGGTTTATGTAATTCTTTTAGGCAGATAGCCTCGAAGGCTATCTGCCTAAGAGAGGGATGCTTTCGTAGAGGACTTTCTAAGAGAAATTGGCTCGTATATACGTTACACATGGGAAAAACCATAAAAACACCCATGCAGGCAAGTCAGTTCGCGGGATTCGAACCTCGGACCGAACTACCAATGTTCAACGATTTTACCACTCGGCGGCTGGTGGGCCTATCAATACTAAAGATAATTATAGCAATATGTACGAAAATAAAGGCTAGGTAAGGACTTTTGTGGTCAAAAGCGTTTACGAAACTAAAAAATGTATGTATATTATGTTTGTATACCTTCATGGCAGACATAACTGTTTTAAACCTAACAAGAAATAGTAATTCTAGATTTGTTATTGTATAATTGTCAAGTACAAATGCTACATATTTAAACTAATTCATGAGACTGAGATAAATGCAAGTCAATCTCAAGAATTATTTGAATTTTTTAAAGAAGCTCTACTAAAAGAGTACCCCTTTTTTTCCAAGAATCTCTTTAATTTTTATCATATCATCATCCTCCCCGTCATTTCCAAAACTCGAAATACATATAAATTTATTTCAATTTATATATATTTAATAAGCTTTTATAAAGTAACCACTAAAAACACAGAAAATGTTGGTAAATAACAAACTTGAATAAAGGTAGTTTTTTTATATTCATAAAATTTTACTAAATTCTTTACAGGTAAATAAAAGGCTGACCACACCACCCCCCCTCCTTGAACTATGAAATCCACTAGATGAGAATCCCTGTACTAGAATTAAAAAAACAGTTAAAGATTTTCTCACAGACGCATTATAAAATCGAGGCAGCATGCGGGACCAACTTAATTTTTCAAAATCCAGTATTAGTAGAATATAAAAGATCTCATAACGGCTCGCTTTCGCTAAACCAGTTTCAGTTTATAAATACATCCGTTTCTTCACAACCTGCTGATACTCAATCTATCAAAAATGTTCTTAATACGCGATTTACTTTTTATGTCTTTAAGTGGGCAGATAAGTGCACTTCTTCCTTGTTTCCAAAAATAGGCTAATCTGGCCTAGCGCGGTAATCAGCCAGCCTATTTACCTACCTATTGGTGTGTGCAAAAGGAATACTAATAGGATTAGATTTTTGCTTTCTAACTCGCAAACAAAGCAGAGATGCGTTTTTATTTTTGCTTTCTTCGGATAAAAATAGAGTATAACAAACGGGACACGTATTCTTACCAAGGGAATTCCAATCCTCTCTAGTCAGTGAAAAATATTTCATACAGTTTTGGGAAGTTCCCTTCATCCTGTTTGTTTTTTAAAAGTGGAAATTAAGGTCACAGCCTTAGGTCACTTCGCTTTTTATTTTTACCTGCAGTTATTCACTTTTCCCCACCTGTATTTCAACTCTCAAGCAATCAATTACAAATGCTACAGGTGAAGAAGCAGATAACAATCCACTAACGAAAACTCAATAAAACTCACTCGGGTAAAAGTTTAGTTCTAGAAAATTTAGGTGACTGTTTCTAATAAATAACTGAAATGCTGAAATGTGTTAAATTTTTACAATATTAAAATTGCATTTTTATTGTTACTAATTGTAGCTACGGACAACGTCATGAAGAGTTAGAATGTTCGTCTGTCATTAGCATAGGTTTTCAGCACTATTGATGGCAATGAGACTTTATTCAGCCCACCGAACTATGATCGATGATCCAACGTGTAATGGGAACCTAGAATCTATTTAGTACTCCTCGTCCTCGTTTTATAACAGGACGTTTGGGTAGACTGTATATGAACTCCCACTGCACAAAGACAACAAAGTCTTAAACATCCATTCCTAAGCCGGAATTTGAACTCTAACGCACTGGCGAGGTACTCAGCCTCCACTACACCGAAAAGGTAAAGCGTATTTTATATTCTAATACAGTGACGTCCCCAGTCTTAATACGGACATTTTCGAAAAAGCATTTCATTCGTAATTCAGAGACCTAAAGAGTATTTGAATTACAAAAACATTTTTGTGTACTTTCATACCGTACCTTAGAATTTCGGAAGCTGGGAAAACGCCGAAATATGAACCAGTCATTTTAAATTTGCAAATGCATTATCGTAAGAGAAATAAACATTATGAAGGCACAGCTTACTGCTTGCGGTAAAGAACATGAACTCACCTTTAAATTTACACAACGAGAGGAAATATGTCAAAAAAAGGGAATCTGGACATGGAATATATAAGTTATGATTTTGAAAGAAAGTAATCGAAAAATGGATCGGCTGAAGAAAGGCCGTCGAACAGCGGAGAAATAATACTGTATTAATATTTTAG